CGACCAGAGACCTCCCCAGCCCTGCTGTGGACGGGGAAGGTTGGCGATGCGTCGGCGTTCCGGGTCTGGGGATCTCGGGCGTTTGTTCGCGACCTGTCTGCGGACAAGCTGTCCCCTCGTGCTTCTCCCTGCGTCTTCCTGGGGTTCCCCCCCGACGCCCCTGGGTGGCAGTTTTACCACCCCACCTCTCGACGTGTTCTGTCCTCCCAGGACGTCACGTTCGACCAGTCGGTACCCTACTACCGCCTCTTCCCCTACCGCACTCCGTCCCTCCCCCCGCCCCCGCTCTTCTTGGTACCAGGTCCCCCCCCGGTAGTCCCCCTCCCCCCTCAGGGTCCTGCCCCTTCAGGTGTGTCCCAGGTAGACGCGGTCGAGCCTGTCGAGGTCACTGGTGACTCTGGTGCTGCTGCGGGAGCTGAGCCTGTGGGTGCAGAGTTTGGGGGTGCTGAGCCTGTGGGTGCGGAGTCTGGGGGTGCTGAGCCTGGGGGTACTGTGCCTGGGGGTGCTGAGCCTGGGAGTGCTGTGCCTGGGGGTGCTGAGCCTGGGGGTGCTGAGCCTGGGGGTGCTGTGCCTGGGGGTGCTTCGTCTCGCCGAGAGCCACTCCCCCCACAGGAGCTGCGTGAGTGGTTTGCCAGGCGCTGGAGGCGTGCTGCTGGTGCTGGTGGTTCTTCGGCTGCAGAGGGTACTGCTGCCACGCGTCCTGGCGGTGCTGTGGGTGCTGGAGCTGCTGGGTCTGAGAGTTCTCCTGGAGCTGGTCCTGCTGAGAGTGTTGGCGCTGAGCCTGCGGTTGGCGGTCCGACTGACAGTGTTCCTGGTGCTGCTGCTGGAGGTTCTGGAGCTTCTGGTGTTTCTGCTGGAGGTGCTGCTGGGGTGGGTGCTCCGGACGGGACTGCTGCTGCTGTTCCTGCTGTTTCTGGTGTCGCCGCGCGGCCCCGACCGTACTTCGTTCCGCTCCTGCAGCAGGTTCTTGGTCTTGCACCTCCTCCTGCTCCCTTAGAGGGTCCGCAGCCTGTTCGGTCGCAGCCACAGCTACAGCCTGCCTCCCCTTTGCCTGCTCCTTCTCCCTACGCTGGTCCGACTGGAGGTCTTACTGAGCGTCGTGAGCCTGCGTCTCGTCCTGCGTCGCCTGTTCGTACTGAGCGCGCTAGTGGTCGTGGTTCGCGTCAGCGTCCTCCTCCTGTCCCTGGCACGCACCGGATGTCACTGCGTCCGTCCACTGCTCCTCTGCGTGCCCCTTTGCCTTCTCCTCCTGCTTCCTCTCTTCCTGCTCTTGCCGACCCTGAGTCGGACTCTCTTCGCGCTGCCAGTCCTACTGTCACGCGTCTCCTTGCTACTGCTGTCACTGACCCTTCCTTCGAGTCGTCCGCTGCGTCTGCCCTTGTCACTGAGCTTGTCGACTTTGCTGCGCGCTTTCGTCTAGACTACGCTGCTCGTCTTGTCACTGAGTCTGAGTCCGCCTGTCCTCCGTCCGTCGGGGGTGCGTGTGCCCTTGGCACGGACGTCCTTGAGGACAGGCAGGAGGAGTTCCAGTGTCTAGCCGCTGCTTCACCTCGTCTTGCGTCTGTACTGCTAGCCCCTGAGGGAGACCCGGATGCACCAGACATCCCGACTCCGCGCTCTTACGCGGAGGCGATAGAGGGTCCCTACTCCTCTCAGTGGCAGGCAGCTATGGATGCAGAGATGGCTTCCTGGAAGTCCACAGGCACCTACGTTGACGCTGTTCCCCCTCCTGGGGCGAACATAGTCAGTGGCATGTGGATTTTCAGGGTGAAGCGGCCGCCGGGTTCTCCGCCTGTCTTCAAGGCGCGTTACGTGGCTCGTGGCTTCAGTCAGCGGCAGGGGGTTGACTACTTTCAGACCTTCTCCCCCACCCCGAAGATGACCACTCTTCGGGTTCTGCTGCACGTTGCTGCTCACCGTGACTACGAGCTGCACTCTCTTGACTTCAGCACTGCTTTCTTGCAGGGCAGCCTGCACGAGGAGATCTGGCTGCGTCGCCCACCTGGCTTCACTGGGTCTTTCCCTCCTGGTACCCAGTGGAGTCTCCGGCGTCCAGTCTACGGTCTCCGCCAGGCGCCACGTGAGTGGCACGACACACTGAGGACTACGCTCGCGGCACTTGGGTTTGCTCCTTCTACTGCCGACCCGTCGCTGTTTCTTCGCACCGACACCTCTCTGCCGCCGTTCTACATCCTCGTGTACGTCGACGACTTGGTCTTTGCCACAGCTGACACTGCTGGACTCGCCTACGTGAAGTCCGAGCTGCAGAAGAGACACACGTGCACTGACCTGGGTGAACTGCGCAGCTACCTTGGCTTGCAGATCACCCGGGACAGAGCGCGCCGCACCATTACCCTGACTCAGTCACACATGGTGCAGCAGGTCCTTCAGCGCTTCGGCTTCACGTACTCCTCGCCTCAGGCCACTCCTCTGCCTACTCGCCACTCGCTCTCAGCTCTGCCTTCGGATGAGTCCGTAGAGTCGAGTGGCCCGTTTGCAGAGCTTGTTGGCTGTCTCATGTACCTGATGACCTGCACACCACCTGACCTCGCATACCCTCTTAGCATTCTCGCACGCTTTGTTGCTCCTGGGAGACACCGACCAGAGCACATGGCTGCAGCGAAGAGGGTGTTGCGCTACTTGTGCAGTACGTCGGGCATGGGGCTAGTGCTTGGAGGGCGCAGTCCAGTGGTCCTCACTGGGCACGCAGACGCTTCTTGGGCTGACGACCAGGCTACGCAGCGGTCGTCACAGGGTTACACCTTCAGCCTAGGTTCCGGCTCTGTCTCGTGGCGGGCTACCCGCTCGTCTTCTGTTCTCGGCTCCAGTTGTGAGGCTGAGATCTACGCTGGGGCTATGGCTGCACAGGAGTTACGCTGGCTCACCTACCTGCTGACCGACCTTGGAGAGCAGCCTCGTTCTCCTCCAGTCCTGTACGTAGACAACAAGGCCATGCTGGCCTTGTGTCGAGAGCAGCGACTGGAGCACAGGACAAAGCACATTGCTCTCCGCTACTTTCTTGCTCGTGAGCTACAGCAGCGTGGACAGCTACGACTTGCTTACGTGGCCTCTGAGGCCAACACTGCTGATGTCTTCACCAAGGCACTTGCGCCTTGTGATCATCAGCGTTGTTGCACGCAGTTGGGTCTTGTGGCTGTCTTGCCTCACTTGCTCTCCTCTTGACCTTGCTTGTACCTTCGCCTATATATACTCTTGCTCTTGCTTGCTTGATTCTTGTATATCTCTATATATGATCTTGCATGTAAACTGGCCTTCTGGCCTTTGAACTTGTGCTCGGAATGCGTGGTGACTTTGTGATCCACCCTGAGCTTTGCTTTGCTTTGCTTGACTGGTCTTGTGACCCCTTGTTCTCCCCCACTTTGCCTATGGGGGTGTGTCAGAACATATAGCTTACTTGTTTCTGTAGGCTATAGTGGGGTATCCCATAGGGGGTAAACCCAATTAGGGTTTCCTATTTGTACCCACTTCTTTTCATAGTCATTCACTTCTCGTTCGTACTTTCTCAAACCCAAGGCTTGAAGTCACTCCCAAGTAAACCATACAAGTTCAAGTTCTTCTTTCAAGCTACTTTTACAGCTATCCCTAGTAAGATTCACTCAAGTAAGTGTTTATTACCTCTCTCATTCTCTCAACAAGCTCACACTCTTCTTCTCTTTTGAGTTCTTACCCCATCAAGCATTCCACCCTACACAAGTTTCTCTTTATAAGCACAAGTTCTAAGTATCATCTTCTCTTCTATCAGACACATCCTCATATGCTACAGTTCTACTGTTCTCTCTTGTCTTATTCTAGTGTGCAATCATACTCTTTTGTCCTTATCTCATTTCTCCACACTTGCAACGGAATAGTTGAACTGTAGAGTCGCTTTCGAGTTGACTGAAACGTCGTCTGTTCGACGAAAAAATCCGTGGATTCTTTGCAAGACCAGAGCACTGGCTCGTCTGACATCAGAGCCGATTAGGCATTTAATGGGCGCAATTCGGATTGTTCAGATGCAGATGCGCCACGCTTCTCGCGCTGCACTGCACCCCCCCTCCCGCTCGCTGCGGCCCCACCGCTACATGCAGCCGTAGTTGGGAGTAATTTCTGCGAATTCTTAAAAAGAAACACACCGCTGTATGCAGCTAAAAGGACCATAAGGCAAGCTAGCGCTAGCTTTGGGGGGGGCGGCATGTGCAACCTCTCTTTACTTGAGCGTGCTGCTCAACCCTAATGTCTTCTTATACTCTAAATCGACGTCTTGAAGGAGACTTTTGAATCGATGCTGCTCAGAGTCTATTGCAGCTAATTCCCGCCATCCACTCGCCGCCTTTTCGCTGCCTGCGCTGTCAGTGGCGATCGCGCCATTCCCCTCCCCGCATGCGCTGCTGCCAGCAGTGCTGGCAGTAACAGCGCACCTGGTTCGCACCGGCCGCGTTGTACGATCAGAGTTTTGCTGCCGAACAAACGACGAAATACAGTACTAGCAAGAATCGGAGCAGGAGAGAAACTCAGTAGCTTCGGTTCGGTTCGGTTCGGAGCCCTGCTTCAAGAGCGCACTCGAGTCCGGCTCGCCTCTCCCGGAAATACGGTCCATTCGGCCCCGGCGGGAGACTCTTGCGAGATTCAGGTTGCGTCCGACGCAGGAGTCTTCCGTGTGGTGCGGCCAGACACGAGTGAGGCTTGAAAGGCTCAGTCCTCCAGGCTGGAAGCTCAAGCGGAGTGCAGGCTTGATACCGGCGGACAATCGTCCGATCTTTTTTTTATCAATCAGACATCTAACCAGACTCAGCGCAGGCTTATATAATCAGCTTGCAGCACAATCAGACATCTACCCGTGTTACCAAAGGGTCAGGCGGAGTGTGTTGTGATTTTGATAATATAAGGTGTGAAGCTCTGCTATAGCGAGGATGGATCCATTCGCCCGTCTCCCCGACGATCTGCTGCTCGCGATCCTCTCGCGCGTGGGCAGCGCGGCGCGCAACGTCACCCGCGCCGCGATGACGTGTCGGCGGTGGAATGAAGTGATCCGGAGTGTGCCTGCGCTGTGCGTGGGAGCGAGTGCCGGAGATCGAGACGCGGCTGCTGCTAACCAGGCGCCCTACTTAACTTTCGAGGTGAGTGTCCTTCGGGCCTTAGTCAGATTGTGCCATGGCTGGCTTATCTAGAATTAAGTGTCTGCGTTTGAGTTTCATAGTTCTGCGTTTGAGTTTCTTAGTTCTGCGTTTGAGTTTCTTAGTTCTGCGTTTGAGTTTCTTAGTTCTGCGTTTGACTTTCTTAGTTCTGCGTTTGACTTTCTTAGTTCTGCGTTTGAGTTTCTTAGTTCTGCGTTTGAGTTTCTTAGTTCTGCGTTTGAGTTTCTTAGTTCTGCGTTTGAGTTTCTTCGTTCTGCGTTTAAAAAGGCATGGAGAATGTTCTCTTTTCTCTGCCGCTCACATTTCCGCCCTCATTCTCCCCACCTCCCCACACACACATCAGCGCCAGGCCTCACGGATGATCCTCCGCACGCAAGGCCTGCGCCACCTCACCATCATCTCGCCCCCCGCACCGCCTGCAAACCACAGAGGGCCGTCTTACCCCAGCCAGACGCAGACAAGCGCCGGATGTCACGGAACCCCCACAGCCAGCGGCGGAGGTCCCATGATGATTACCAGCAGACGTTCCGCTCCTCCGAGCCGCGGAACTTCCGCTTCCGCTTCCGCTTTCTGCAGGCGTCCCTCTTATTCCACTGAGTCGGAAGAGCTCCCTGCCTGCGCAAATTGCACCTCCTGCGCCAGCCAGCAAGATAGCGCCAGCGGCGGCGCTTCCGCGCAATCCCCCCCACCGCGCCATCCGCGGGAGTTCATCTTCGAGGCATGGACGCGCCACGTCGGGCCGTCCCTGCACTCTCTCACCCTCTCCCGCGCTCTTCCCGCCACGAATTCCGCGAAGCGCCCTCGCGGCAACGGCTGCACCAGCGGCCACGGCGGTGGCGGCGGAGGTGGCGGGAGCGTGGTGGTGACACCAAACCTGTGGGAGGAGGAGGACGCGAGTATGCACCTCGCGCACATTTCCCGCCACTGCACCAACCTGCGCTCGCTCTCATTGGGCCACGTGTCCCTCTCCGCGCCAACCCTGCTCGCCGCTCTCAAGCCCATGCCGGCCCTGCAGCACCTCTCACTCTCGTGGCTTCATGCGTCCCCCGCTGTGCTTCACGCCGTGCTTGACGCCGCGCCGAATCTCCTCCACCTCACGATTTTCATGGCGTCGGGTTTTCCTTTCCTAGAGCTGCGCCTTCCGCCGTCCCTCCAGCACCTCTCTCTCTCCTACATACGCACGGACTCCGTCGCTCTTCACTCCGCACGCTCCCTCCGATCCCTCTCCATCCGCGACATGTTTCTCAGCGCACTCACCATCCGCCACGCGCCAAACCTGCGCCAACTCTCTGTCACCTCTGCCAACTGCCTGCTCGTCTCCGCGCCCCACTCCAGCCGGCTCGCGTCAATCGACCTCCGCGCGGGCTCGCTAAACTGGCCTGCCACCGAAACCCTAGTTTCAACCAATTGGGCTGCGCTCGAGACGCTCTCCCTCGGCTTTTTTGCCACCAGTAACGCATCTGGGCTGCCCTTGGTTTTGTCGCTGCCCTGGCTTGCACGGAACTGCCCGGGATTGAAAAGTTTGCGGTTGGGTGCGCTGGCATGGCAGAATATGGTCGACCCAGCTGCAGTGTCTGGTCTGCAACAGTCACAGTGGAATTGTGGATCATCTGGTACACTCAGTAACGACATTTTGTGGCCTCGGCTTGAAGTGCTTACTGTGAGAATTGCGGAGAAAACACCCGAAGGCCTGCTTCTGCTTCGTTCAATTCTTTCTAACATCCCAACACTGATGGGCCTTCATGTGACTGTAGAGGGGGACGAGGACGAGGAAGAGGAGGAACAGGAAGTGGACATGGATGAAACGGAGTATGATGGAGATTGTGATGCTGCTGGCATCAATGAGTATGAGGAAAAGGAGGAGGGATACCAGATGGACAGGGAGACAAACTACCTTTCACACTCTTCTGCTCAACTTTCTGTTGCACGCTCCTTTTCTGATCTAACTGAGCCTAACACTGCACTGCCTAGATTCACTCAGCCTGTGGGTTACTGCTTTGCACTGACTGCAGCAGAGACACAGTACCAACTGTTTTTGAAGGGCCTGGATTGTCTACAGAGGCAGATTGGGTGCTTCCATGTTGTTGGGAACAAATAGTCTTAAGCGCCTCTGTCGTGTCGAAACTCAAGACACAAGCGAAGCAGCTCAAATCGAAGCACCGCGAGCAGGCCTAATTTTATCAGTGTAAATCACCCTGATACCCTGATAATCAGGGTGGTTTTTGATGGTCACACTGATGGGCTAGGGTTTTTTTTTTTGTGGAGGTAGATTTACCCTGATGTGTCAGGTTTTTTTTGTAAGGCACACTGATGGCCAAGGGTTACGGATCCCGTAACAAGTTTTACCCTGTAACGCGTACCCTACACCCCCCCTCCCCCCGGTTCACCCACCCCCCCTTTCCCGTAACCTGGGATTCCATCAAGGCCACTGAGGCCGGAATTTCGGCCTTGACAACTCCTGTGCTGGCACACAGAGGGCCACTATTGGCCAGGTTTACAGTTTCTTTGCTGGCACCGCCACCTCCGCTACTTGGTCTGTTTGTCAGACTTGACAACAAGGCCGGGTTGGCTGGAAACTTGGCTGAATGCAGCAACAATTCGATGCCCACTAGCCCACTGGGCACCGCGTTCCTTGCACGACTGAGGCAGGCTCCGCTGCTTGTTTGCGTGCACGTTAGGAAACAGAGGCACGAAATGACAGGGGTCATGAACACATGCGAGGTTTCCTCTCGCAAGAACACAGCACTCACGCCAAGTAGAGCAACGTTGGCGGTTCTCCTGCTGTCCTTAAGCAGCCATGGCTCCTGCAGAGGACAGTGACGGAGAAGCTGCTGACGAGCCATCGAAGGATGTGCCCGCACGAACAGGCCTTTATTTCCTGCGCGCGGTGCATGCGAACCCTCCGCTTGTCCTCACTCCAGGCCCGTCTTCTTGCAGCAAAGGGAAACAGAGTCTGTCACCCCCGCCTGCTTCCAATGCCGTCACGCCAGACAGTGCTCCCGCCACTGTCAGCGTGTCAGAGGTGGGCGAATCATCGTCTGCAGCCTCGAAGAAGAGGCGTCGCTACGCGCAGGCCGTTCTACCGTTCGGCACGCCACCAGCGAAACCGATTCCGCCGCCCGCTCCACTCCAAGTTCCGAAGCCAGTCTCCCGTGAACTCACCGGCGCCGAGAAGGCTGGAGAGAAATTTTTGAAGGCGCATCAGCTATACAACACGCAGTGGCTGCCGAAATTTGGCTGGCTGCTGCTGGACAAGAACGCCGACGGCCTGCCCATTCTGCGATGCAGCATCTGCGTGGAGCATGGAAAGGACGATGCGAAATTCGGAAGGAACGGAACGGGGGGCCGTGATCTGCAGCTCGGATCAATGCGATGCCACGAGCTGAGCGGCCGCCACGAGGAAGCGATGAAGCGGCAGCGGACGCTCATGGCGGAGATCGAGCACCAGAAGAGGATCGACGACTTCGCCAATACCGACAAGGAGGGGGCGCGGCTGACTCGTCTCATGCGCGGCGTGGAGTTTATCTGCAACAACGACGCACCGATCGCGATGTTTCAGAAGCTCATAGGCTTCCTCGCAGAGGAGGGAGTAGAGGACATACCGCTTCAATCCTACGGCGTGTACATCACACAGTAAGCGTGTGCCAAAATAGCCAGACCGCAACGAATGTTTCCGCATTCCATTTGTGTCTAAGCGCTTTCACCTCGGCTTGTGGCAGGTACGGATTCAACGAAATGGCCTCGGCGATGGCTAAGTACCAGAAAACACAGCAGCTGCAGCATCTTCTCGCTTCACCATTCATCGGCATTACTTGCGACGAGAGCACCGATCGCGCTCGCGGCAAACATTTGATCGTGTTTGCCACCTTCCTCAAAAATGGCGTGTCCGTCACGGAATTTCTGTCGCTACTGACGGTGCACAAGTGCGACGCATCCTCGCTTTTCACTGTGCTCACAAGCCACCTGGAGTCTGTTGGGGTGGACTGTGAAGCAAGGAAAACAGGAATGAAATGACTAAGGAAAGATTGGGTACAAATACAACCCTAGAAACCCTGTACCCCATATGTGCTACCCCGCTATAGCCTACAAACATGCATCAGTTATAATAATCCGACACACCCCCATAGGCAAAGTGGGGGAGAACAAGGGGTCACAAGACCAGTCAAGCAAAGCAAAGCAAAGCAAGCTCAGGGTGGATCACAACGTCACCACACAGTCCGAGCACAAGAGCAGGGCCACAGGCCAGTTCACATGCAGGAGTACAGACATATATATAAAACTAGACAAGCAAGAGCAGGTATATATAAATGTCACAGTACAAGTGAAGTCAAGAGGAGAGCAAGTGAGGCAAGACAGGCACAAGACCCAGCTGGGTGCAAAAGCGCTGATGGTCACAAGGCGCGAGTGCCTTGGTGAACACATCAGCAGTGTTGGCCTCAGAGGCCACGTACGCAAGTCGCAACTGACCACGCTGCTGCAGCTCACGAGCAAGGAAGTAGCGGAGAGCAATGTGCTTCGTTCTGTGCTCCAAGCGCTGCTCTCGACACAAGGCCAGCATGGCCTTGTTGTCTACGTACAGCACTGGAGGAGAACGAGGCGGCTCTCCAAGGTCAGTCAGCAGGTAGGTGAGCCAGCGAAGCTCCTGTGCAGCCATGGCCCCGGCGTAGATCTCAGCCTCACAACTGGAGCCGAGAACCGAAGACGAGCGAGTAGACCGCCACGAGACAGAGCCGGAACCAAGGCTGAAGGTGTAACCCTGTGACGACCGCTGCGTAGCCTGGTCGTCAGCCCAAGAAGCGTCCGCGTGGCCGGTAAGGACCACTGGACTCCGCCCTCCAAGCACTAGCCCCATGCCCGACGTGCTGCACAGGTAGCGCAATACCCTCTTCGCTGCAGCCATGTGCTCCGGTCTGTGTCTCCCAGGAGCAACATAGCGAGCAAGAATGCTCAGAGGGTATGCAAGGTCAGGTCGTGTGCAGGTCATCAGGTACATGAGGCAGCCAACAAGCTCTGCATACGGACCACTCGACTCTACGGACTCATCCGAAGGCAGAGCTGAGAGTGAGTGGCGAGTAGGCAGAGGAGTGGCCTGAGGCGAGGAGTACGTGAAGCCGAAGCGCTGAAGGACCTGCTGCACCATGTGTGACTGAGTCAAGGTAATGGTGCGGCGTGCTCTGTCCCGAGTGATCTGCAAGCCAAGGTAGCTGCGCAGTTCACCCAGGTCTGTGCACGTGTGTCTCTTCAGCAGCTCGAACTTCACGTAGGCGAGTCCAGCAGTGTCTGCTGTGGCAAAGACCAAGTCGTCGACGTACACGAGGATGTAGAACGGCGGCAGGGAAGTGTCGGTGCGAAGAAACAGCGACGGGTCAGCAGTAGAAGGAGCAAACCCAAGAGCCGCAAGCGTAGTCCTCAGTGTGTCGTGCCACTCACGCGCTGCCTGGCGGAGACCGTAGACTGGCCGTCGGAGGCTCCACTGGGTGCCAGGAGGGAAAGTCCCAGTGAAGCCAGGTGGACGGCGCAGCCAGATCTCCTCGTGCAGGCTACCCTGCAAGAACGCAGTGCTGAAGTCGAGAGAGTGAAGCTCGTAGTCGCGCTGAGCGGCTATGTGCAGCAGCACCCGAAGAGTAGTCATCTTCGGGGTGGGAGAGAAGGTCTGAAAGTAGTCAACTCCCTGCCACTGACTGAAGCCACGAACAACGTACCGTGCCTTGAAGACAGGTGGAGAGCCCGGCGGCCGCTTCACCCTGAAGATCCACATGCCACTGACGATGTTCGCCCCAGGAGGGGGAACCGCGTCAACGTAGGTGCCTGTGGACTTCCAGGAAGCCATCTCTGCATCCATAGCTGCCTGCCACTGAGAGGAGTAGGGACCCTCTACGGCCTCCGCGTAAGAACGCGGAGTCGGGATGTCTAGTGCATCCGGGTCTCCCTCAGGGGCAAGCAGTACAGACGCGAGATGAGGTGAAGCAGCCGCTAGACACTGTAACTCCTCCTGCCTGTCCTCTAGGACGTCCGTGCCAAGAGCACACTCACCCCCGACGGACGGAGGACAGACAGACGCAGACTCAGCAACAAGACTAGCAGCGTAGTCGAGACGACAGCGAGCAGCAAAGTCGACGAGCTCAGCGACTAGAGCAGACGCAGCAGTGGACTCAAAAGAGGGGTCAGTGACGACAGTAGCAAGCAGACGCGTGACAGTAGGACTGGCAGCACGAAGAGAGTCCGACCCAGGGTCGGCAAGCGCAGGAAGAGAGGACTCAGGAGGAGAAGGCAAAGGGGCACGTAGAGGAGCAGTGGACGGACGCAAAGACATCCGGTGCGTGCCAGGGACAGGAGGAGGACGCTGACGCGAACTGCGACCACTAGCGCGAGCAGTACGAACAGGCGACGCGGAACGAGACGCAGGCTCACGACGCTCAGCAAGACCTCCAGTAGGACCAGTGTAAGGAGAGGGAGCAGGCAGTGGAGAGGAAGGCTCCAGCAGGGACTGCGACTGGACAGGCGCTGGACCCTCTACTGGAGGAGAAAGACCAAGAACCTGCTGCAGGAGCGGAACGAAGTACGGCCGAGGCCGCGCGGCAGCTCCAAACGCAGCAGGGACAGCACCAGCACCCTCAGCGACAGCA